CAGCAGGAGGTCAGTGACAACACCCGCATCTTTTCTGCACTACAGTTTCTCTTACAGAATTGACTTCCAAATTTTTTCACCATTAGATTTGCCCAAGAGTTAGGTGACATACCCAGGCTTACATGAGTATCATGGAAGAATCTGGAGATTAAATTTACACTGCACTTATTTGCACTCCTTCCCTTTGCAGATCTAGATTTTGATATTTTCCCTTTGCCACAATATGAAATGAATGCAATTTTGAAAAGAAATCGTGCATTCATAGTATGTTGTTAAAACTGTTACATTTCATACTAGTAATGAACTATAGATTCATTATTAATCTGTAAATACTAAAATTACAGATTTAATTTCCAAAAAAGATCTACAAGATACTTAAAGGAGAAATACAGTTCTTTTAAGGCTGAATGCACATTTTTCTGGTTTTAGCTAAGAAAAAACAGCCTTCAATAATTAGATTTTAGGTGAGGAGCAAGGCTAAAATAATTCAGAATTCATTAAGTTCTGATTTCAAGTTTTCGGGAAACAAATAGAGATTTAATTTTATACAGTTTTTAAAAGGTAGGGTTATTGTTTTCATGATGTTGAGGGTAAAAATTAAAATTACAAATAGGCTTTAAATAATGTAATATTGATATTTTTGTTCACCTAATGACTGGTTATTTATATCACTTGTTTCAATTGCTTAATTCACCTTCAGAGATCTAATAGGTTACTCCAGTTTATTCTGCTTTATTGCTTCTCTTTTTCAGTGTGTAGTGACTAATCCTGCCTCAGCTGTTGTAATACCTAAACTACAGTTGACTTCAGTGTAAGTCGTAGCAGAACATATCTTTCTGTGACAGCCATCTTCCTAATTAGAGATAAGAATCTCTCTAACTAAGCCCCTTGTAAAAGAGTTGAAAATGATCTCTGATCCTCATCTATTTTGAGTCCTTCACTCCTACATAGGCATCAGCGAACAGTTCTGCAAAGTGAGAAGCAGCCTTAAAAGCAGCAAAATCATTTTGTAGGGGGTTTTAGGGCGGTCAATAGAAAGGGTGAACTGGGGTCTCTCCGCTGGGCAGAAGGGTCCTTACTCCTTGCGAGAAGGCAGATCTGCCCTTGATCACCTTTGATCTGCTGATGTCCTGCTTGTTAGCAGCTAAGGCACATGCTAACCCTGTCATTTACGTAAGCCTCTAGGTAAAAAAGTGAGCTGAGAGTTGTAGGGAGTGTTATTACGTACTTCGTGGAGGGCTCTTATGATTGCCTCTCCTGATGAACGTTTGGTGAGTCAGCAGGCTATTTTC